GTATCACAAATCTCAAGCCTAAGCCTTTTACTTTCCTCTCACCAAGCACACCGGCATCGCATCCAGCTACCATGATCGATGTCTACAAGCGTAGTAACCAGGTCCAACAAGACAGAAGAGAATAAAGAGCCAGCCGCCACCGCAAGGCTAAATTCCTTTCGCGGATTGGATGTCATGCACCGGCGCCGGAGCGTATCTTGAGCATTATCTTGGGATACATAGCCATTGCCCTTCTGAATCAACTCCGCTCCGCAGTCTTGTACGGCACATACAAATCTAGACAGGCCCGTGCTCGAATTCCTCTTGAAAAAAATGTCGAACCAACTTCTTGGGACAATCCGAGAGCCCCCACGACAAAACGTAGGAGGGAAAAAATAGTTCAGCAGAGGAGACAAAAGCAAGCAGAAGCATTGAAAGAGAGAAAAGAATAATGGCCACGCACGCGGGCGGTTGGCATGTGAACGCCTATTAGAACGTCCACGCGTAGTCTAAAGCTTACCATTTACGGAAATTAACAAAAAAAAAAATGACCCCGGTACGGACGACGACGACCGATCGAAATAACCTCGGTGGCTATTCGCCGAGATCAATACACTAGACTATGTAAAGACCGGAGGATGCCATCCATGTGGCGACGAGCTAGCTACCGTCATCTCAGACTGAACCAGATCCAGCATCCCCCGTCAATCGCTGTGTTGCGGCATCGGAAAGAGTTATCTCATGCGGTAAGCCTACTACTACGTGTTCTGTCCTCGCCCCTAAGAAGAAACAAAAACCTGCGGACGGACTAGTTCTATTAAAAATTTTCCCCCGGAGAGCTATTGACGTCGACAATCGCAAGGATCAGGTGAGCACTTTTGACGCCGACAAGCGGAAGGATCAGATGAGCGCGGTCTGCGTCTCGCAGTGGAGGCCGTAGTACCCCGTGAAGCACGCGCACTCCCCCGTGGTGTAGTCGCACTTCCCGCGGCCGCCGCAGACGTAGGACTCGTAGTCCGCCGACTGGACCTGCTGCACGTACGACCGGTGCGCCCCGATGGTGTAGGGCAGGTTGTCGAGCTGGGTGTCGATGGTGGACAGCGGGAGGCCGTCGAGCTTGGGGGTGCAACCGTCACCGCAGGGCCTCCACTCGACCTCCAACAGGTGCTGGTTTCCCTGGACCTGAAATTTGGGGTGGGGTGGGGGCGGGGGTCAGCATACGGTAGCCACCCTTCAGTCCAGACATGGGTTTGGGTCCATGACACGGGTTTGGGTTGAGGGACTCACAAGAGGAGAAGAGAGAATGAATGGTCGTCTGTCTCAACAAGCAATCGTTGAAGCGTGGCGAGCTGAGTCTATGACTGACTGTCGGAAGGAATGCTGATGTAAACGATGAAGCCTCAGCGGAAAAATCGAGAAAGAGCATGTTATGTTGCCTCAGTACCACGCAGCAGCGGCGGAAAAGGCTTGGTGATTGTACGTGGCTAACTCCACTGAGGTTGGCCTTATCCGACGGTGGCGATTAACCCTTAGACACCGGGTGGTGCCATCGAAGGTGACCACGACGACAACCTCGTGACAGAAGTTGTTCCGCCGTCGTGGTGTCTTCTAACAAGAACAGAATCTACGTAAATGAAAAAAATGTGGAGACGGGAAAACTAGCGACGCAAGAGTTATCAACCGAGTCCCGGGTAAGACCAAACACGAAAACATCCGCGTAAGATATGTTATATATATCACAGCTACCAAAATGAATACGTTTTGTGGCGTCATACACAACGCGGCCGCGTCTAAACCAAAACCCACCCCTTTGTAGAGACCGTCCTCCCTCTCACGCGCACCACGATGCGACGACGACAAAGTGCTGCATAAAAACAGTAACTCTGTGTGTATTTTCTGTGAATAATCTATCCCGGACTCTTCCTGTGGATAGACATGAATTCGAGACTACTTATTCAAGAGATATACTCTCGGCTCGTAGCCTCCCAGCTGGATCAGTTTCGAAGCACCGTAAGTTATTTTTCCGGCGGCGCCTGGCGAGGGGTCCGAATAGAGGCTTATCCGTTAGACTACTTAGTCAGGGCTGACGAAGTGGTCTAGAATAGCCTTTTTCTAACACTCAACGCATCCCCCTTGGTCATATGGTAGTCTTTCCGTGATCGCATATGTCATATACTGTAAGAAACGGTACAGAAAAAACAACAACACACACACACACACGCCACACATGTTTTCATCTATACCTGTGCGCCGTCGAACGTGACCACGATGAGCTCGTCGCAGGGGTACTCCTCAATCACCTCCCCGGCGATCACCGACCCGGTCGCGTTGTAGGCCACGTCCACCTGGACCGAGTCGATGACGCCGTTGGGGAGGCCCTCCAGGGCGCTCTCGATGTAGTCCGCCGTCTCGTAGGGCCTGGTCGTGAACCCGTCTCCCGTCCAGGTTGATGGGGATGGTCGTGAACCGCTCCTCCTTGGCAGAGGTGAAGGTGAGGGCGAACGTCTGCCCCGTGAAGTTGAGCGAGAGAGCGCTATACCTGTGCAGGGTCGGGTCGGCCGCGTTGAAGTCCCAGTTCCAGAACTCGGTCCCCGAGAAGGCTGTGCCCGAGCTGTACAGGCAGATGGCCTGCGGATCGGATTCGGTCGGACCGGGGCAGGGGCAGGGGGGGGGGGGGGGGGGTCAAGATGCAGAAGTTGCGTTGTGTTTTAGAAAATGTATGCATGGAAAGGCTACCAGGTCGAGATTCAGCCGCAGTCGAATGAACCGATCAATCTCGGATAGAGATATGTGTTGAAATACGAGGAACTTAATATCGGATAGTAGATGCTGGTCTAGATAGTCAAGATCCTCCCCCCCCAGAAAAACGAAAATCATCAAAGGGCGGGGCAGAAACCTTCTTTCTTCTCTCTTCTTGCCTGGCAGCGCAAAAACGAGCGTGGGAAAAAGAAAAAACAACTTGTTGAAAGCCTTGTCGCGGTGGCCGTGCAACAAAACGCGGAATAAAAAAAACACACACGCGCGCGCCTGCTACGTCAGATATTTACGTCGACAGGCCTAGAAACTGGCGCCAGAATAGATTGGACGAACACACACACGCACACGATAGCCCCCCCTCCCAAGACGCCTACTCGCGGGGCCCCGGCATTTTGAGTCCTCATCCGCAATGAGACTGACGTCTTTTCATTGGTCGGCCGGCTAGCGCGGTCGATGCTAACAATAAAACACACACACTGGTATATTTTCATTGGTCAGCCGGTTGGCGCGGTCGATGCTAACAATATTAAAAGAAAGCACACACCTGCTTCTGATACTTGACGGAGGCGACGCGGTTGAGCCTCTCCACCATGACGTCATTCCCCTGGGGGCAGGAGCGGTACGAGCAGTCGACCCCCTCGTAGCCGGGGTCGCAGCGGCACATGCGGGTCTTGCCCTCGTCCCACCCGTGGTACTCGAACGTCACGGCGTCGTTGCCGTTGGTGTCTCCCAGCTCGCCCAGGTGGTCCGTGTTGTTGTTCTGGTCGTGGTAGAAGGACCCCAGGTTAACGCCGTACGGGAGGTCGTCCGCGAACATGCATCGGCCGTGGCCGGAGCAGTCGTTGGGGCACGACATGCGGGCGCAGCCCTTCCCTTCGTACCCCTCGAAGCACACGCACTGTTGTTGTTGTTGGTGGTGGTGGGGAGGGGGGTTTCGGGGTTGTTGATGTTGTGGTCGTCGTCGTCGATGTTTTTTAGTGTCAATGTTCTCGTTGCCCAAGTTTCTTGCACTGCTGCTGGCGTCAATGTTTGGCGTACCACGTCAGAATAGATAAAGAAACTTAGGTTGTTGGGGCCGGGAGGGGGGGCTTGACTCTGGTGCTAATAGCGCACCACGCAACTACTGGCAATAGGTACACCAACGGGTGACCAGGCGCCACTAGCCCTGTCGCAGCAGCTCCGGAGGAGAGAGATGTCGGCGTGCTGTGTCAGACTCAAGTATTTGGGTACAGGAAACCAAGGAGAGTGCTTTGTCTTGACCCGTTCCACTGTTTGTCAAGATCTTATCTATGACCTCATCTGTTACTTGGCGCGCAAGAAAACGTGCTGTCTGGACCGGCCCTTTCATCGCGAGACGTCGAGAATGACAACGGATACGCGACCCGATTATTAGAAATTTTCACGCCCTTGTAGCGCATCTGCAGACTTGGACGCCGCATCTCTTTTGTGGCATCGTCGGGGATACAAAAGGCTACTGTATGTTCTGGAATGCCTCTAAGAGTGGGGGTAAGGTTGCACGGAAGGGGCGAGGGTGTAAGGTAGATACCTCTGCGGCACAGGTGACAAAGGCTGTGTACGTCTCCGATACATTTGAAAAACTCGCAATACGTTCACGCCCACATGTAGCCTCGTCTGCAAGTTAGGCCAACTGGGGGCAGATCCACCCAACGAAAGGAGACACAGAGAACAGCCCGCAAAAGCTGGGAAGCCTTTTGAAGGATAGCGTTCGGGGTAGTTTATTTCTACACGCACATCCGTCCATGTGCTCACCGCTGCCTAGTCTTGGGGAGCAGCAGCTGTTCGCTTCCAGCAAGACTATATGCACACATCAGCGCACAAAAGTCCGTTTGTGTGTGTTCTTATACTCTTGTCGCACCAACGCCAGAGACTTTTCCTTTTCTTATATGGAGTGATGGGTCATTGAAGGATGATCACAGGGAGAGAAAAACAGCTGGTACAAGGATTAGAACTGCGCGCCACGGATTGGAACTGCGCGCACCACACAGAAAAGTTGGTACTCGGCGGTGTGCGCCTCCGCAACCTTGTGGGTGTTTCCATCCAAAACGAAAATCACGACAGTAGCTCATGACCCGCTACGCGAATTTTGAGTGCGTATGTGGTTCCTCTGCAACAAAGATGTCCACTTCATGGCGAAACACGCCTCTTCTTTCTTGGGTGGAGTACTAGGCAGTCGGCATGAGGACTACTTGGGGGGGCCTCCGTAGGGAAGGTATGGGCGACGACGGGAATGGAAAGTGCTACCTTACAGTATATAGTCTAGTGTCCGAAATAATCACGCGTGGCAACGACGAAACATACCCACCCCCTGTGCTGGCCTGCGTCACATCATCTCACCTCCCCAGTGGTACGGTCGCATGTCCCCTTGTTGGCGCACTCGGCGTACGTGTGGTGGGCCCCCGAGTCGTCTGGGAAGTCACTCCAGGCGATCTCATACGGGCAAGTGCGGTCCGAGCAGTCTCCGGTCTCGAAAAATTCTTCGCCGTTCTAAGGGATGCATAAATATTACACGCGGTGGAGAGAAATACGCTTGATTTTCAATGCCAGAGAGAGCACAGCAAGGATGGATGCAATGGTGGTTTGCGTGCACTTTTTCGCGTATATCGTGACGGAGAGAAGTCGGTGTGGGTCAGAGAAATGACAAGAGGAGAAGAACAGACGACGCCCGTGTTGTTGGAAGCAAACATCCTCTCGCTTGACAAGCGAGGCAATTATACGCCGACGCCGACGCCGATGATCTACCACCCAAAAAGGGGCGGCCATAAACACCTCCTGTTGCTGTGCTTGGAAAACACCGACCAGAGTGAGCGACAACAAGAAGACGAATGGAGGCCGTGTCGTGCAGCACACGAGGTCCCGCCAAACCCTACTCAGCACACGGCTGTTGCTGCTGCTGTGCCGCTGTGGGTCTCAGCATGCCTGACAACGTAGGCAACAAAAGAGTACATGCCAGAGGTACCACGGGGAACGTGAACACTTCGGCCTGTATCCAGCGGCACCCAACACCTCACCCCGACACGCACCGGCCGAGACGCAAGGAGAGTAAAGGACCAAACACCGCTATCTTGTGGTGTGTCGGGTCGATGGCCCAGCCTAGACCGGTGCACCTCCCGGCGACACCCGGTGCTTGTCCCAGCAGCCCCGTGCCTCATTGTCCAAATAACGGTTACAGTCTATTTGCGAGAGAAGCAACATCATCATGCCACAAGACACGGCATCACCACTCGTGAGAGTGCCCCTAGCCCACACACGCCCGCCGACCGGAAGGCGACCGTTCATCACGCACCTGCCAGTTGCTGTAGCAGACGCACGCGTCGTCTACGGTGCAGGTCCCGTGGCCCGAGCACGCGTTGGGACAGCACCCGGCCTCGGCCGACGGCAAGAATACGCTGAGGGACACAAGAACGCCGAAGAGCGCAGCCGGAAGCAGCGTCCATCTGAAAGGAGCCATCGTCGTATGTAGTCGTCGGTACACCGTATGTCAACAGGCTTTAGGGAGCGAGATGCCAGGAGTCCGTGCTTGTTTTGCCTCACAACTCTTGCGGGGTAGTAGGAGATTTGCTCAGCGACGGAGCAAAGGAGGAGTTGTTTGTTTCGCGCAGGAAACACGCAGGAAGGAGTCAAGGCCGCAATTTAGATATTCGACGACACGCGCGCTCGTGAGTTTTTCGGTTACAAAAAAAAATCAAAATGTGGGTGTACCTCCCTCGCCGTTTCCGTCCTCGTCCAAGCTACGGAGCCCCCAGGGGACTTGTTGAGCAGAGAGAGCAAAGTGATGTGCAGGACTATCCTACGGTACTGGTACAGTAGTACTACTTCACAAGACAATTAAACAAGAGGGAGATAAGCAAATGGCAGAGGGGCGTACAGTATACGGGGTAAGGTTGCCGGAGAGAGGTGTGTTGCTACATGTATTTTATTTAACACTGCTCGTGCATCATTAGACGGAAACGGGGTGGGGACGATCACAGAAATCGCTCGAGAGGGGGGGAATCAACTGCATGTGATGGGGCACAAAATATTCAGTGAAGCTCAGGCGGTGTACATCCAGTAGCGTACAACGCAGCAGGCAGAGAAAGAAACCCACTTCTGTTTGCCCTCCGAATAAACGTGTCTGTCTGTTGTGTGCCTCTGAATGGCGAAATGAACCTTAGTCTAAACAGACAGGCGTGGTGATCCCACAACCCCCTGGGGATGGTTTACCCCGTGAGACAACCAACAAGCTTACGCGGGGTTCAGCGTTTGGGTCCAACGCACTTCAACGTTTTATTTACCGGGCGGGGCAAAACCGTGAAGAAAAAATGTTGAGGTTTCACCCTACAACAAACACCCCTGCTCTGCTGTTTCCATACAATAGTGTAGCACCACGCTTTTTAAATCACAGACTGCCAAGCAAGCATATAAGAAGAAGCACAGGGGGCTTCTCCCAGGTAAACTCGAGAACGACCTCTCTTCCGCTCAAAAAAGAAACGACGTCCATCAAGCAGGAAATGCATCTGTAGCAAGTCACCTAACGCTGCGGAACATCGTATCCCTTCGATTAGTCTCGATGGCGGGTTTGAACCTCTCCGTGGTGAAAAAATCGCGTAGATATTGTGCGTGAAGGTGAAAGCAGCGCATGACTCGCGAATGAATAAACAAAAAAAGAAGACGTACGGTGGTTAGCTGAACCCTTTCTCGCGCAAAAAAATATAACAAGCGCCGAAGGGAGAATAAATGTGGAGAAAAAAAAAGTAGAACAGCGTAAATCTTCGTCCTGTGTGACCCTGCCTGCTGATGAGTCACACATACTACAGCATAGCGAACAGACGCTCAGAATAAATCGGGCGAGTACCGCAAAAGCCACAACAACAACAAACAAACAAAAACGTGCACACGCACGGTTACAAAACCTCCAGGGCGTGAAATAGACTCAACGAGCGAGCTTGACCCCAAACACACTCGACCAACCGCGGGAAGTGAACGTCCACACAACGAACGAAAGCTTCCACGCGGGGATACGGCACACGGCACCAACGACACACCCACCCCGCCCCCCGGAACGACGACGAAGACCAACAAGGGGCGTGAAGGTCGTCGTGGGATAGCTACACTTCTTGTAGGAAAATAGGGGGGGGGGCGTCGGAGGTTGCACTCTTGAGCATAGGCAATGCCGATGGAGAGATATCGGAGGGGGGCAAGGAGAAACAAGCCCACCTGCGCGCGGCGACCCCGCGCTCGGCAGAAGCAAACGTACGACCAGCACACGAGAGGCGAGGCTGCGACGAACTCGATACCAGCAGGCAACTTAACCTGTACTTTTTTTTTTGTTCATCGCCTTATATTACCGCTGTCGTCACAGCTTTACCTGCCGCGTAGGAGCTATCTCCAATCCGTGGCCAGTCACACAGAAAAGGGTCTGAATCGCATCAACATCAACAACCTTGGGTGTTAAGGGCCGTGTCAGGAAACCCGTCCGTTTCCTCTCCCTGAGGTCCCCTAACGACAAGCGTAACAGCAAGCAGCAGGAGAACAGCATAAAAAAACGCCAGAGAGACACGCAAAACCTTCATCTAAGCTACCTACCAGTCTTGCACGAAAAAAACGCGGGGCGCGGCCAAGAAAACGGGCCTGCACATTCAAACGCCTACAATGCTCCCAGGCGCATTTTCTCCCTGTTTTATACGTGTGATCGCGTTCCGTCTACAGAGTCGAGGGGGCTGACTTCTTGACCGTGTTAACACGCCCAAACCCCGTCAAGGGAAACAACCGAAAACATGACCCACAATGATGGCTAAAACTTTAGAAACTTGATCTAGATACAGCTACCCCCAACCCTAAGCCTAAGCCTGCGGAGCTGCTTTTACATTAACCCTAACAAACTCTAACCCTGAGCTTGAGAAGCTGCTTTTGCGTGTGTCCATGCACAATCTTAAAAAGCTAAACGGGCTCGTAAGGACAATACACCAAACACCAGAAGGCGTGCACAATTTTTTCGTGGAAGACTTTCGCGCACCCCCGCGATGTGCCCCCCCACGATGTGCGCGTTGCATCCGAAGCAAAGGCGGAAAACAACCGGCCTTTCTTAGAATGCCGGTCTTAAAAAAAAAAAAAAACACGATGAAAAGGGGGCACGAGTGGCCGTATAGCCTAGACCACGCTTCACTCCCCCGCCGATGCAGAAAAATATGCCCGACAAAAAGAGAAAAAAGAACGAAGACGTAGCGCCAAGCTGATAGATTCGCTCCCCCTGGTCCGTTCCTTCCTTACGCCACCGTTAGGCTTAGCCGTTTGGCGTTCTCCCAACTGCAAACAAAAAAAATCAATTCGATACCTCCAACTCCGTCCTCTCCAGGACGCGCGGTTAATGGTCAAACAGCTAAGGCATGGAAAACATGAGTACACCCCCCTCAGCTTCTCTGCAATCACTTTTCTCTATTACATTGATGCAGGCCATCATGCCGGGTGGAGGTCGTCAGGCAGCGAGCCCCCCACCCCCTCCATGCAACACCTCATGGGGCTCCGCGCTTGGTGAAGTGCTAGCCTGGTCTGTTGAGAACCAACCCGTGCGGCCCCGTCCCGGCTTTGAAGGGATGCGAGGTCTAACGACTATGGCATGCACGGCTGCAAGTACCCCCCCCCCCCCCCC